TCGCCTCGGAGTTCAACTGTTGAATTCTTGAAGGTAAATCATTAGAATCTCCTTCTGCTTGTGTTTTAGCTGAAATACTTGCTTCAAGTTCCTTCTTGCTATTTTCAAGATCCATTTTTAAGTTTTCAACTAGGGACTCTGCTTCCTCTGCTTTCTTTTTAAGCGTTGAGAGGTCGCCTTTTATGCGTTCTACTTCTAGTTGAAGCGAATCAACTAGGGTTCGGAGAGAACTTTCCTCTGCTGTTATCTCGCTCAACACCTTCTTTGTAGCATCGAGCTCTACATTTGCTTTATTAAAAGCGTCCAAATCCAGGGCTCGAACTTGATTGAGTTGATCCTGTAAGACCTGGATTGCCTCATTGGTTACCTCGAGTTTTTCCAGGAGGTTTTCGGTCACTATTTGAGAATCAGGATCCTCTTTGAGAGCCCTGATTTTTTCCTCAGCTTCTTCTTTAGCTGTTCTAAGGGAATGTAAGTGAGCTTCTTTATCTGCTATAAGCTTTTCATGCTCATCTTGTGCTTGGAGAGATGCAACTTTTACTTGGCCTAACGTTTCGTGTAACATATCAACTTCTTTCGAGAGTTTACCTAGCCTTTCTCTGTTGATAGCCGCGTTGTGTTGCGCGTCTGCAGCTTCTTGAAATGCAGCTAGTTTTGCTTCCAGGGCCGCGTCAAAGTCCTGACGAAGATTTGTTAGCTCTTGTTTCGCTGCATTTAGCTCGCCTGAAGATGTTCGATATTGTTCTCTTTCAGCTTCAACATTCTGTTTCCATGCATCAGTGCCAACTGGAGGCTTGTTGGATTTCTGTTCTTCGAGTTCGATGGCTCGGGCTTTTGCAGCTTCTGTTGTCTCAATGGCTGCTTGTTTCGATTCGCATAAAGTTTCGAGCTTTCCAGTGAGTTCTTGGAGAGTTCTTTTGGCCTTTTCGAGTTCGCGGAGAGCATGAGCTTTTGTTGTCTCTGTACTTCTTATTTGTTCTTTGAAACTGTCTAATTCTCTCAGGGCTAAGTGAAGCCTGCTTTCCTTCTCTAGCACCCTCTGTGAATTAGAAGAAAAGTTGTTATATGACAATTCAAAAATAAATGCATGATTCTCAAAATTTCATTTTGTAGAAAAAAATAGGATTGGAACATATATTGGAAAGAGATGGATGATAAATATAGTATGTCCTAACTTGTGGCTAGAGCAAGATCAATCCTCATGGGCCAGATTTAGGGCAAGGCTCTGTGAGCTCAATTGAACCTATTACTTTCGGCTCCAATTGAGTATATTTATGTTCGTCAGATCCTTCAAAAATATCGGTGGCTTTGTGTCGGATCCTTCAAAAATTATTATGCAATTTTGGAGGTTTCGACATGGGTGTGACCAGTGGTGAAATCAGGAATTTCTTCAAGGGTGTTCAAACTTGAAAGAAGTAAAAATAATTCATCGAGAAAGGGTGTTCAAGATATGTTATATACATCCAAAACCTAATATTTTACCTATCTATACAGTGTAATCGGCGAAGAGTGGTCAATTGACCGGACTTAGGATACTGTAGCTTACGCCTGGGTGGGATGGGTATTTTTGGAGGATCCGAGCAACATAGATGTGTACACATGCTAAAATTATGGGTTCAGAATTAAAATTTGATAGGTTCAATCTTTAGATTCTTAGTCCATTACAATTTCGAAATAATAGGCTCAGAAATTAATATTTTATGAAATCATAGTAACTTTTCACATATATATATCTATGCTGATTATTATTGAAAACATATCGAGTTTAATTGAAGTCATTCGTTATATACTCCATCCGCCTCCATGCATATAATAAGGTCACACTCGTTCTGAACATAGCCGAGAACGTTTTATTAGCCAAACATATATAGTACTACATACCTCTTCAATGGTTTTTGATCTTTTAATTGTGGGCTTAGCCTTAGGGGAAGAACCAGCTTCACCAAACAAACTAACAGCTGCTCTCACAGATTGAAAGGGTGCTCTTGTATCAATTTCTCCAACTTCTGCTCTTGGGGAACCTGTGCTTCCTGCAGTTTTTGGTGAACCAACAGAAGATGGAGAGCCTGTGGATTTTGGAGAACCTGAGGCATTTTGCCTCCCAGTTCTTATACTGAATCCAAACATGATTTTTGTGGTTCTATCTTTATATATAATTTTGTCCTGCTAAATCCTGCGAAAAAAAGATTATGAGATTATATATATAGTTTTGAAGAAATAGAAATATTCCACTATTTTGTTCTAAATGCCACATATAGAAGGATTTCATGATCGTAACATGCATGCAGTGACGAAACCAGAAATTTTTTCAAGGGTGTTCAAACTTGAAAGAAGTGAAAAAAATCCTCCGCAAAGGGTGTTTAATATATATTATATACCTTTAAAACTTAATATTTAACCTATATACACAATGTAATTTTCTCGTAAGGGTGGTCAGTTGACCACCCTTAGAATGGTGTAACTTCGCCCTTGCATGCATGCTTGGAGTAGGCTAGTAGCGTACGCGAAATTTTGCGTACGCGATGTTGGTATACTGACTTGTAAATGAGTTTGGCTCTAGGAATATATTGATTTTAAGGCTTTACTTTTGGTCTCAAATTGGCATTTACTTCAAAGCAATGCCGGGCTATTATATATATATATATATATATATATATATATATATATATATATATAAAGAAAGGATAGTACGCTGCACTAAGTTCCTTGCTATGCATGGGGTCCGGGGAATTAAGGTTCGGACGATAAGAGTCTCTTGTACATAGCTTTACCCACATTTTTGCAAGAGGCTGTATTTCCACGGTTCAAGGCCCCCTTCAAGGGCAATTGTATATATACATACACATATATAAGAATTTTAATTATTTTTTGGTAAAGTGATGCCGAATGACACCTTTTTTTAAAGGGTGTCTTCGCCACTGCATGCATGAAAATCTATGATATTGTCTTGCAAAGAAAAGCTTGATGATCATTAAACTTTTATGCAAACAATAAATTAATATTAACTACGTCTCAATCTCAAACAAGTCAAGACTATCGAATACGCTTAATTAACATATGGAAAAAAACATGCACGAAAATATAAAGAGATATATTGCTCACTTGTTATTCATAAAAGAGAAGTCAGGATTCCAGAAAATGTGTTTTATGGCTATCAACTTATGGTATATGTATATAACAATTCCCAAGTAGATTGTATCCACCTTGTGCAATAAAGAGGAAGAAATGTTGGAGCTTTTTCAGGTCTATTTCCCTTTTATATTTTCAAGAAAATGATCGTAGGCTATGAATAAAGAGAAGAAGAAAATAAGGATGAGGTGGGTATGAATGTTTTACTAATTTGCTTCTCTTTGTTTTGTCATGAAATGGCATAAAACCAACTTTTTCTAACATTCTGTAACACATGAGGTCCAAAATGTTTCTGATTTCATTTTTCTGTTTTTATTTGCTGTTCTTTCGGTAATAACACAGACATTCATTCCTAAGAGTCATTAGAGGTTTCAGCGGAATAAACGCAAAGATATATGGTGATTATAAGGTGATTATACCCTATCATACAAATGTATGTTAAGCGAGAAATTTTATTTTGTATCTCACATACCACGTTCTATATACTTATGTGAGGCTCTCATATTGCTTGACAAATGGACTCACGGGTCCCACTTGAATACTTCATATAGATAAAATTAAAAAGTTTATACTTTTCTTAGTTAATAAGATGCTTAAATTAAGGACCAAAATAAGTAACAAAATAATAATAATAATAATAAATAATAATAATAATAATAATAATAATAATAATAATATATCTGCATTGAGAAACAAAATAAATTAGGAAAGAGTAGGTCCTGCACGAGGAAATTATACAAGATAACAGGTTATAATTCAAGTAAAATGATGTACATAAGATTTCAAAGTGTTTTAATCTATTATCGATTTCGTCTTAATATAAAGATATAACGAGAAGAATATTTGTAAATGGACTAAAAATAATCACTAAACCCCATACATCACTATTCGGAAGGATATAAAATAAATGAATTTAAGTTCTATGCACAAAATTCAACTGCAGGTAATTTTTTGTTTACAAGTATAAATTGATAACTTTTTAGGGTTCAAATCGTGCTTATATATATATATATATATATATATATATATATATATATATATATATATCCAAAAATTAATTGGATAATATTTTTTCTCTAATAGAGAAGGCAGTATTAGACGAAAAATTTGACCGAAAATATAATTGTTTATTTTCGAATAATACAAACAAATTTGACCCTTTTGACTTAAATCTTTATATTACTAGCTTTAATCCATAAGCTGCACAATTTGGCGTGTGTGGGTAGCTACAAATTTGCTTCCCTCAACCACATCAGTGCAAACAAACTAACACTTGTGATAAGAACCCATTTAGAACATATCCAAAATTTTCCTTAATTGGCAATATTTTGCTGATCGAGCCAAAATAAATTAATTACGTACCAACGAAAGATTACTAGTGCACAAGGGAGAAAGTTTCAATTTTATTGATAAAGTTTGTAGCCTAAAGTCAATTTTTTTATAAGACTTTAATTACCCTATAGTAAATCCACCCGATGCAAGTTTAATCCAAATAAGTCGGACTACTGCGTTTTTTATACTGAATATAATTAAACCAAAAAGGGAATGAACTAGAAGGCGTTACAGAGCAGAATAACAAGCATACGTTGATCCAAGTTTCTCATTCATCAGTATGAGTTTACCTAATATCTACCTTACTTTTTAGATTATAAATCCTACTTTTTATAAGGAGTTATCTATATATATCTTTTATGTGACCTGATGATAGTGTAAATTCCGTCCCATCGTTATGTATATAAGGTACACTTTTTCAATATATATAAATTAAAATACACGTGTGGCTTGGCCACATTCCCTTAGTTCTTCTACACACACCTATTTAAGCTCTTACAACACAAGGGAGTTGGGAAATTAATTAAGTGCGAGAAAGGCAAGAAAAAGCAGAAGAAAATTATTAAGAGAGAAACAATAGAATTAGATTTATGGGAAAAGATAGTAATTACGTTCCTTTATTTGAAACAAAGGGAGCAAAAGGACGTAAACTTTATTGGGTATATGCAATCTCAGTATTAATTGGAATACTCTTTATATGCTTTCACAGAGTGAATAACGTACCGACAATTAAAGGAAGATGGGGTTGGATTGGTTTGTTAATGGCAGAAGTTTGGTATATATGTTACTGGATCATAACTCAGTCACTTCGATGTAATGCTGTTTATCGTCATACTTTCAAGGATAGGCTCTCTCACAGGTATATTTTCTTTTAATTTAATTGATGAGTTCTACTTTTAGGTTCTATCTATTATGTCCATTATCATTTTGAAATTATCGGTTTAAAATTAATAGAAAATGCACGATTTCAATGTGTTAGATTTTGAGATTTTAAATTGATACACCAAATAAAAAAGAAAGAAAAATACTTAAATTAAATGTAAGAGGGGGATGCTACACATGCACACAAACATGAAATTTGAAACATTAAGCTTAGTTCTAGAAAGAAAAAGGAAAAAACAACAAGATATATAAACATAAGATTTGGACCTTTAATTTCACTTCTAAAGGTGCACCCAATAATCATTGTACCATAGGATTCTTTGAGTTTAAGTACGCAAATATATATTTAAGTGATTAAAAAAAAAAACAATAGTTCACGTGCACCATGCTCCTCTACATAGATACGTCCCCGTATATATATATTCGAGGCTACATCTGACGAAGGGTGGTTAGACACCCTATGCAGAAAAATTACATTATATCATATAGGTTAGATGATACTACTACGTACTTTTTATGTATACATATTAATCTTAAATATCTTTAACGAAATTTCTGTCTTCGCCATTGTCTATATACAGATTCAGGGACGAGGAGCTACCGAGTATAGACATATTTGTATGCACAGCAAACCATGTGAAAGAGCCGCCATCTATGGTGATAAACACAGTTTTATCTCTAATGGCTTATAATTATCCACCTCAGAAGATGAATGTTTATCTCTCAGATGATGGTTGTTCTGAGTTTATGTTCTTTGCTCTATTTGAAGCTTCTGAATTTTCCAAAAAATGGCTGCCATTTTGCAAGAAATTTAAAGTACAAACACCTTCACCAGCTGCTTATTTTTCAATGAATAATCATGAATTATCATCAACTGATGAGTTTATTTCCATCAAGGTACGTATATTATTAACTGCTTACAGTTTTTTTTTCTGCTATTATATGCTAGTCTAACTTGACAAATTGTTAACTTATTCATAGAACAATTCACATAATTAATTAACAGATTTAAGTTATATATCAAAATAGTGTAATTCTTTTTAACGTTATTAGTGAATTTTAATCCGTGATAGCATGTTAGTTACCACTTTCAGATTACAAAATAATGCTTATCGAAAAATATACTTTAATTAGTAGTATATAATAAGTGATCTGATCGTATAAATATTTTTTACATCATCAGTTAATAAAACTTAAGCCCTAAATTTTTAGTATAGGAACTTATATGTCGGCTTGGTCTAGTGGTATGATTGCAACACGCAATGTGTATTAGGAGCACGTCACATGTTCAAATTTTGTAATTGACAAAGACTGGTATTTAAGTGAAGAAGGATAAAGGAGTGGACCCATTATTCATCGAGTTATAAACGATGTGTTTCTAGCCCTTAGAAATTTCTCGATTACTAAAAGAAGTACAAGGATTTGTATATTTCTAATAAAAGTTCGATACTAACAGTAAACTAAAAGCCACTTTCTTTCTGAATCAGAATAGATTAACATCGTTCTTCACGTGTTTGTCTATATGTCTCCAGAATATATGTCTACGTTGTTGGAGAACAAGTGCTACGACATAGCGGAGCTAGAATTTTTATTAAGGGACGTCAATTTTAAAAAATAAAATACACGAATAAGTCAGGGGAGTCAATACATAGTACTATATATACATAAAAAAGAATTTTTGCTTATCTAAAGTTAATACTTTAGTGAATTATTGTTCATTGATAAACTTACAGAAGCTATACGAAGCTATGATTAAAAGGATTGATGAGACTACAAGGCAAGGCCATGTCCCTGAAATGCTGAGAAAACAACATAAAGGATTTCGAGAGTGGAATTTCATTTCAAGCAAACAAGACCATCACACTATCATCCAAGTGAATAAGTGTTTTTTCTTTCTTTTCAAAGAAGTGAACATAAAGTTTAATTGATATTTTTTACTGAAATATTTGCTTCAATTTGTTGCAGATATTAATTGACAAAAGAGACAGTAGTGAAAATGTGGATGTGGTAGGACAAATTTTGCCAACTTTAGTATATCTGGCAAGAGAGAAGAGACCCCAACACCACCATCACTTCAAAGCAGGAGCCATGAATGCCTTGGTAAATAACTTGCTCTCTTTTTTTTTTGGGGAGGGAGCCTTGGAGCAACGATAATTTTGTCTCTGTGTGACTTATAGGTCACAGAGCCGTGAAAGGAGTTTTTTTTTTTGTTTTGGGAAGGGGAGCCTTGGAGCAACGATAAAGTTGTCTCCCTGTGACCTATGGGTCACGAGTTCGAGCCGTGAAAGCAACCACTGATGCTTGCATTAGGGTAGACCTATGTTGCGCGAACTCTCCAAAATGCAGCTGCACCCGTGTCGGATCCTTCAAAAATGCACTACTTTTGGAGGATCCGACAAGTATCCAGCCACATTTTCGAAGAATCCGAGCAACATAGGGGTAGACTGCCTACATTACACCACTTGAGGGTCCGGTCCTTCCTGGACCCTGCGTGAATGTGGAATGCTTTGTGTATCGGGCTGTCCTCTTTTAACTTAATTAGTTTGTTAGTTATATAATCTAGTGGGTATGAAGATATTTTTATAATATCAGTGAAAATTTAACTTTTTATATCAGATATATTATTTCTTTTAACATATTACCAATGAATATTTATTAAAAGATTTATTTGTAATTGCCCAATGAGTTAGTTTAACTAGTACATCCATCGATAATATAAAGAATTGTTACGTCTCATTTACCTATATAGTAGGTAACCTATCTCATTTTCAAGATTATAAACTATATTTAAACTTTTATGGAGGATTACTTATAAATATTATTTGGATAGCCTAATATTATAAAAGCTTCTTTATATTGTCGGTTTGTTTTAAACTGTTAACAAATACAGTGACCTAATTAATTGTGTAAATTATTACACTGCATAGAACTTAAATTCTTTTAACTAACAAGCTTCCCATCAATTAAAATTCTTGTTTTTTTTTTTTTTTTTTTTTTGGTTCTTCTTAATGTTTTACTATTTGGTGCAACCATTATTTGACTCTTTGAAGAAAAAAAACATGAACAGATAAGGGTGTCAGCAAGAATAAGCAACAGTCCAATTATTCTGAATGTGGATTGTGACATGTACTCAAACAATTCAGAATCAGTGAGAGATGCCTTGTGCTTTTTCCTAGATGAAGAACAAAGTGATGGTATTGCTTTTGTACAATATCCTCAGCAATTTAGTAATATCACCAAGAATGATCTTTACAGCAATTCTTTACGTCTAATCACTGAGGTAAGAGCTATATACCAAGTTTGAGATCAGTTGTTGTAATTAAAGAACCTTATAGCTATATAAAATAACACATCTAATTACTATTCCTTGTTTCCGTTTATGTGACGACTCTATTTCCTTTTTCATATGTTTAAAAAAAGAATGTCTCTTCTCAAATTTGGAAACAATTTTAATTAAACTTCTAAGTTTGTAGCCACACAAATATTATGACATGTTTAAAACCACAAATTTTAAAAAACTTACAATCATACAAGTATTAGAGCGTATTTCAGATTACAAGTTTTAAAAGTCTTCATTTCTCTCGTAAACAATGACGAGCCAAACTACGTCACATAACTTGGAATGGAGGGAGTAATTAATAAGGATTCATATACAGTCAAACCTCTCTATAACAGCCTTGTTTGTTCCGATATTTTTTGGCTGCTATAGTGGAGTGTTATTATAGAGGACATATATTATAACATAATATAACAATCGATTCCGAAAAAAAGAACTTGGCTTTAATAGTGAATGGTTGTTATATAGAGATGTTGTTATAGAGAGGTCGACTGTATGTGATTAGTTATTATTTGGTGATTGTTAAGGTAGAGCTTCCAGGATTAGATGCAAGTGGAGGACCTTTGTATATTGGTACTGGCTGCTTTCATGGGAGAGAAGTTCTGTCCGGAAAGAAATACAGTAAAGGATCCAAGATAATAAATTACAACAAGAAAGGAGTATACAACAAGAGAGAATACAGAGAAACTAGTGATATGCTCGAAGAAACATGCAAAATTCTTGCTAGTTGCTCATATGAAGAAGACACTCAATGGGGTAAAGAGGTAATTTTCCTTAATTAACCACACCCCTTTAAGAACCAAGAACCAAATTAAGGGTGTATTTGGTATGATGGAAGATGTTTTTTGAAGTTATTTTCCGGTGTTTGGTTGTCAAAAAGTATTTTCTTGAAAGAAAATAAATTTTACCACTACTCTTAGCTTTCCTTCAGAATTATAATCTCAATGCTTAGATTTTAATTATTGTTTTAACCAACACTTAGACATTATTATCAATCTTTTTTTTGTTGGTCAATCTTTAATACTCAAAAGTTTCACAAAAACATTATCCCGTTTGCTATAGTATTATTATCGAACTTTAATGTAAGTATTTTTTTCCCAAAAAATATTTTTCTCTCTAACCAGACACCAAAATATTTTCCAGGAGAATAAGTCACATTCCGAAAATAAATTCCTAAAAATGACTTTCATAGTACAAAACACACCCTTAGTATGCTATAACTTTCTAACCATAGAAATACCTTTTGCATTGATTTCATCTGCAGGTAGGATTGAAGTATGGTTGTGCTGTAGAAGATGTGATTACAGGATTAGCAATACAATGCAGAGGTTGGAAATCAGTGTACTTCAATCCAGAGAGGAAAGGCTTCTTAGGTCTTGCTCCAACAACACTTTTGGAAACTCTAGTACAACATAAGAGATGGGCAGAGGGTAATTTTCAGATATTCCTTTCAAAATACTGCCCTTTCATCTACGGCAAAGGCAAAATCCCACTCAAACTTCAGATTTCATACTGTAGCTTCTTGCTCTGTGCTCCAAATTGGATGCCTACCTTATATTATACTATTGTCCCTTCGTCTTGCCTTCTCCATGGCATCAGCTTGTTTCCAAAGGTATGTCCCTCTAAGAAATAAGTGTCTATCTATGTATGTATATATACATGTATATATGAATATATATGTGTATGTATATGCACCCTTTATCCTTGTTAGATGCTTGTAATAGTTGTGACACCGGGTTTTAGGCATTGTAGACAGTTGTGGTCGCGTTTAGACCTTGTCTCAGATATTTACATTTATGATATTGGTTTTGAGACTATTTCTGCTTTCATATTATATCATGATTCTGTTAAGGATGTGGATAATCTGCTTTACTTATGGCTGTTTGAGTGTTGGCTTGCCTAGCGAGCAGGTTAGGCGCCATCACGACTTTTAGTAGGATTTTGGGTGAATCTGACCAAATCTTTAACAGAATCATGATATATTTTGAATGAGCTGAAAAACAGGGATAACAATAACCTACTACAGTGATATAGTAGGTTAGCAAAATCCTACATAAAGAGAGAATGACTGGAAGGCATGTGCACATTGCAGCAACATTTCTGTATGTTCTTCTAAGTATAGTAAGTCTATTTTAATTTCTGCATATACAGTTGTCAAGCCTCTGGATGCTACCATATGCACATGTTGCCATTGCCACTACAACAAATAGCTTAGTAGAACATCTATGGTGTGGAGGCACATTGAAAGGGTGGTGGAATGATCAGAGACTCTGGCTATACAAGAGATTGACTTCTTACCTATTTGCCTTCTTTCAAACCATCTTTACCTTGGTAGGCTTCACCAAGTCAGGTTTTGTAGTCACAGCAAAAGGTTCAGATAATAAAAATGTAACTCAAAGATATGAGCAAGAAATCATTGAGTTTGCCACTACTTCCTCATCATCAACACCTATGTTCTATGTTTTAGCAACCATAGCACTGTCGAACCTTTTCTGTTTTGGAGATGTCATGTTAAGGGTTATTATGGATCGACATGAGGCTGCAGTTATTGTAGAATCTCTTGGTATTCAGATTCTTTTAACAGGGTTAATAGTAGTTGTTAACTTGCCTTTATATGAGGGGCTTTTCTTGAGGAATGACAGGGGATGTATGCCCTTTGCTGTCACCTGTAGTTGTCTTGTCTTAGCTACCTTTTTGTATCTGTTAGCCAAATACTGATCATGTCAGACTTTTCAGTTCTCAGTTCATGTCTGTACTCTGTTGTACTGTTGCACCACTCTATGTAATATAAAAAGTTGGCGGTCCTATATATATAGTGTCGAAATTCCAAAGCTGTGGAGTCCTCAATGTAAAAACTAATGAATATTCATTTATTGATGATGGAGGATTATGTGACACAAAGGAGCAGAACTGCTAATTATACGAAATGTAAAGGAAAACAAGTGTTTGCTCGATTTTCATGGTATTATTAGCTTATTGCTTCTATGGTTTTATATAATGGATACAAGCATTCAGATACCTCACTACTTTTGATGCAATGTGGCAGAACTCAGCAGGCAGGCAACTGTGCAGCAGCTAAATGCATATATAGTACAAACTATTCCAGTTTCAAAGTGATGAACGTGCCACCATCCTTATAGGCCTGCAATATGCAAGACTTAATGATTAGAAACACATTACCTGAATTAAATGCAATCTTTACATGGAGTTGATTGCAGAGAGTCAACTGCAGTGTAAAGACTCTTATCTAAGTTTAGGTAACTTCAACTCAAACTAATTTGAATTCGCCGATATTTTTAGGAAATTTCACCAAATAATTATTCCCCAATCAGAACAGAGGTATCATCTTTGAAAGACAATCAACCATGTCGAACAGTAGAAATTTTATCCAATCATTCACTTCCTCTCATTCTTCATTTGGTGTAGAGTTGACTATATTTATTTTACTTATAAGGAAAGAGGAAAATGACTATTTCTTTATAGTTCCTGAACCTAGTAAAAGCAAAACATATTCTGCTGCAAGTACCAGAAACTGTAGGCTGTCTTTTGGCATAATGAAAAAATTTTTATACAAAGAGAAGTATTTTCTAAAATCATTTTCTACTGTTTTCATGGACATAAAGGTCTATGGCATCTGATCGCTGAGGAGGTCATGGTGCAAAGCATTTGAAGTAGTCTTTTCTGCAGATGTGAAACAGAGTGAAAAACAATTGTTGCATGCTATAGAGAATTGTAGTTTCCTCAAAAGATACTCTATTCCTCACCAGACAAAGTAGAGCAAAGAATATGAGTTGATTCCTGAATTCTGCCCTGCACCACTAGGGTCTAAGATGTACATTTACGTTTTCCTATGTTAACACAAATAAGCTCTTCAAACAAAGGTCCGGTTTTATACTTATAACGTTGAGTTGAGTAAGGTTCAAAAGTCCAGGATGCAAATTTTCTTTGACCATAAAATACAGTGACTGGATCATTTATCCCACCAGTTTCAGATTTATCTTTGCGGTTAAGCAAAAGCACTTGTAGCAAAAAGGATTAGAAATAGAGAAAAACAAACTTGTGGCAAAAAATCTAAAGCGGTTGAATAAGCCAATAAATCATAAAATTCACTAAAGAAAGGGCTTACATGAGCTCTACAACAAGAGCAGATGCGCCTCCTCCCCCATTGCAGATTCCTGCAACACCAAACTTCCCATTCTTGTGCTTCAATACCTGAACCATAGTTACAATTGTGTAACACAAAAACAAAACGCAGCAACTTTGTGCAGATACTATTTAGTTGTCCATTACTAAAACAATCTATCAATATCCATCAATAAATATACGGTCAAATCATATTTAACCAATAAATAACACAAACTGGACAAGTCTAATTGCTTAAGCATAATAGTCTGAGAAAAAACGTAATTGCTGAAGCGGAACAGCATTGGAAGATATCGCCGACATACCCCTAAAAGAGTTACGAGGATCCGAGCTCCACTGCACCCTAAAGGATGTCCCAGCGATACAGCTCCACCATGAGCATTTAGCTTGCCCTGACCGCGGGACAAAGTTATAACAGGATTGAGATAGAGGGCATGATAAAATTGGAAGAGAAAATTACAGATTCCAAACAAAATTAGCACAGTTCTTTGTTTTTTTTTCAACTAAATTTGCCACGATATTTCGCTACGTAAGCAGCGAGTAAAATAAGCAACTATCGATTTCCAAAGGGAATGGTCAAAAGCAAAGAGCAGAGAATTTGGAGACTGACAGAATTGAGATTGAGCAGTCTTTGGTTGGCAAGAGCCACGACCTGCGAAGCAAACATGATAAATTATGGCCAAACTAGATACTATTAGCATCAGAAGACATAGTACAGATTCTTACAGAGAATGCTTCATTTATTTCATAATAGTCAATTTGAGATGACTCAAGGCCAGAATTCTTAATTGCTTTTGGTATTGCAAGAGCTGGAGCCGTTGTAAATAACTCAGGTGCCTGCCCAATTAATCTTGTTAGACAAGTTGCAGTAAGTTGTAAAACTCGGAAAAAAAAAAAAAATTCTCGTCTACCTGAGCTGCATCTGCAAATCCTCTGATCCTACCAATTACTTGCAATCCAAGTTCAAGTGCCTTTTGTCCACTCACCAGAACTAATGCTGCAGCGCCATCACTAGAGTTACAGCATACAAGAGGTCAAAATAAATCAAATGTGCCTTACTTTCTACATCTAGCAGCGTTAACACAGGATTGTTCATGAAAACTACTAAAGGAACACCAGAAGCAGGTTCTCATTAGTATCATATGTTTCAAGGACTCTAAAAAAAGCATGAAAAGAAATTTGTCGGCTGTGTCACATGCACGTGTGCTGAGGCAGAGAAAGAGAAGACAGAGATAGAATACCTTATAATGGAAGCATTGCCTGCAGTAACAGAACCTCCATTCTCCTTGAAACTTGGTCTAAGCTTTTTTAGTTTGGAGGCATCAAACTAGCAAAACAACAAATGAAAAGAGCTTTGAACGTTAATAAGTGACTCAGCAGATCAAGGAATTAATTCCGTACAGAACTTGGAAACCAAGCATGGACGGATAGAATTTTCATCAAGAATGTACGGGAGGAGACAGAAATCAAGTATATGTGTTTGACACTGTCCATGGGAAAGAAAACCACCCGTGAAAATTTCCAAATTCTACTGCCCAAGAGTATAACTGACCGGAATTAGATAAAAATGGACAAAGAACATTTATCAATGACATTCAGAGACAGCTAAATTGCACATTGAAGCATTATTACTACAAAGTATTAGGCAAGAGATAGTTCAGGGATTTTCCTATAGCTAGTCAGATGCAGTTTCCTACATTAAGGGGTGAAAATATGTGTAAAGGATAGATAAAAAGGTAAAGAAGATTTAAAAAATCTGATCTACGAAAAGATAATCTCACATGGAAACAAAAGAACAAATAAAAGTAAGTACTATACGTCAGTTTGTTAACTAATCTGGTTCACCTTTATTAAACCTTCATCTTTATCAACAAACGTAGATGGTCTTCCTCTTCCACCGGAAATTTCTACCTGCACGAACATCAAAACTTTAGCCTAAACTCTCAACTTTCTAGAGCATCATTTATACCTAAAAAAGGAATGTAGAATCTCACCGGAACTATTTCCCATGCAAATGCACCACTACGTTGTGCAGCAATTCCTCGCTCAAAGCTTTGAATAGCGTAAGAATCCTAGAGAAAAATATGAAGATAAAGCACAGGTAGAAAATTCAAATGTTTAACACTAAGTTTTCGAAATTCTAAGGCATTTGCTTCCAGAAAAAAAAACAGCTCTAAGCTCTACATTTATATCCATGTGGTTAGTGGAGAACAGCCATCGGACTGAATTTGTCGTAAAATTGAAATTATTTTGTTTCCTTCCTTATCGGAGCGGGGCCCATGGGGCTTATTTATTGAAAGGGGGGGGGGGGGGGGTTAAAAAGACGTATGTAGTACTTCCCACAGAAGGAAAAGTAAGAAAACAGGAGGCAGGAACACCCCCGTAAGAAAGAGGTTGATAACAAGGAAATTACATGTTTGTCCTTTTGACTGGTCGAGAAACCTTCTTTTTAATAGAACAATAATTTTATTGATTTGGGAAGAACTCCCGATACAAGAAAGATACTAAAAGTAGAGAACCTACAGAAACAAGTGGAGATATATTACTAAAAAGACCAAGTCATGAACAATGGAGAAAGGGAAAACGTCAACAGGCAGAAAGAGAGAGGAATGCTGACTGCAAGTTCCTAACATGGTTCATAGACGAAGAGAGAAATATTGAAAACTTGAGGTAGCAGCAGACATTACCTGCTGTTCTCTTGTGATTTTATACTGATCAGCACATAGTTCTGCACAGACGCCCATCCCGAAATCATTATAGACATCCCAGAGTCCATCTTTTAGCATGCCATCTACTATAGTATCATGACCCAGCCGCGACCCCTTCCTATCGAAATAAGTAAAATCAGAAATGACTATGGCAAATGGTTTTTACTGTAAGTTTTATTAAACAAAATACATGTGGCAGCCATCCGAAAATGGAGCTTCCTCAAAGCAGACCAATAAAAGGAAGAAAGAGAAAATCCTTAAAGAACATTGTCTTTCCACAATCAGAGAAACAAAGCTCTTTCAGATGATTATCTATAGGAGTTTTATGTAAGATCCAATCCAGAATATCAAGAAACAGCCTAAGTCACAGACATAAATGCATAAATTTGAATGCAACGATATAGTGTCCTCCACCAAAGATGACTATGTCATGAGGGCTGGATGTAAAACGCTACACTTTGAGGCATCACAAACTTAATGCAAGTAAATCTTCCTGGAGAACCAAAAGACAAAAGCTTTTGTTTCTCATTTTCATGTACGATGGATTTGCAGCCAGAATAGATTAAGGATGTGAACATTATTGATGGAAGAAAGACAGAAAAACACTAACACTTGAAGAGTAAGTGACTTTACTCTTTCCTTTTGCTTCCTCCCTCGTTTCTTTTTTATTCTTTTCCTTGGGAAGTGAGGCTTTCTCATTTCATTATTTTCCAGATACATACAATTATAAGAAAAAAAAATCAAACCTTGCTTGAGTTAGGTATTTCGGTACATTGGACATGCTTTCCATGCCACCAGTAACAACGATATCGTTGCTTCCTGATTGTATTGTCTGTGCTGCAATCATTGTTGCTGCAACAAGTGTAAACATGTCAGGAAAAAGCAGGAAAAAAAAAGATTGATAGAAATAATCGAAATGTATACATACTGACCCCACCTTTAAGTCCTGAAGAACACACTTTGTTAATGGTCGTGCAAATCACTGAATTAGGAATCCCAGCTCCTAAGGCAGCTTGTCTAGCAGGGGCTTGACCTAAGTTTGCACTGAGAACATTTCCAAAGAAGACCTCTTGAACAAGGGATGGGTCTACATTTGCTCTTTTAAGAGCAGCTTCAGGCGTAACAAACACGGGAAGTTTATTAACATAACCAACAATGCTAAATGGACATTAGATAACTAATGCAAAAGTTAGCTATCCATTAATCTCACCTCGGATAGCTACAGAACCAAGCTCTGTAGCTGACAAAGATGAGAGAGAACCAAGAAAACCACCCATTGGCGTTCGAGCAACACCCACAATGCATACATCTGGAATTTCAAACATTCTGTTATACATACATGAGACAGAACCCAAAACCAACAATATTTGGTGTTAAAGATCAGACTTTTATGATCACTTTATTAAGTACATACCAGTACCACTAACTAATAAACGAAACAAAGCATGTCTAGACAGATAAATATGTACAAATATGTTCATAGACCTCTAACCAAACACTAAAGCACCAAACTACTGTATTTGCCCAATTTGTTTGTTAGAGATCAGTTTTACGACTAGAGGCGGACCCGGCACTTGAAAGTGGCGGGGGCACCATTGTCTAATAAAAATTTGAGCAAATGCTAGAGTCGCAATCAAACCCATGCAGCACACTAAAAGTCAAGTTGAGCCCCCCAAATCGACCAATGCAGCTACCAAAAATTTGAATCTTAGGATGTCAATCAAAATAGATACATGTTATTTAAGATATATACACATATATACATACATTTTTTCCGAAGTTACCCGGGGCCGGTGACCCCCTTATCCAAAGCGTAGGTCCCCTTTGTTTACGACCCATTAGAAATGTGTTTTTTAGTTATATGGCCCTTTTTTAAGGAGATCGATAAAACATACTTCTAAGATGGTAAATAAAACACATGATATTTTAATTTATTCTTTTATTTTTCTGAAAGTGAGTCAAAAAAATAAAAAAGGAGCATTGTCTTCTATTCAAATTGTAACTGGTTACAGGAGATCATATCCTTTGGTACCATTACAATTCAACGAGTCAACGAAATTCAACCATAAAAATTGTGATTTATAGTGTTTATGCAGCTTCTAACTATGTAAATTTTGATTTTTTTTAAAAAAACATAAATTTAAAGGTAAAATCAGAAAGCTGACTCTCCTACTCCAAACCCGCCATTCTTATAAGCCAAAAATAAATAAATAACTCAAATTCTGAAAAATCCATGAGTGATTTAAAGTTAAAGAGAAAGAAGAACCTCGAGGTTTAATGGAATCATTAACCATCTTTGCCATATGGATTTCTCCAAAAATGATCCGTTCAAGAACAAGAATGAAAGATGAATACGACCCAATTGAACTGATTTTGAGCCAAGATAAAGTAACGAACAAAGGAAAGAGCTTGATCAAAGATGAATTTTAAGGCAGTGAATAAATTTTTTGCAACAAGTTAGTTTGAAGTTTCAATCAGTTGTATTTTATGGAGATAGAGCAATGGTGTCAGACTGTCAGCAGATGGAGTAAAAAAAATTAGCAATTGCATAGAAGGGCGTGTCCAAATTGATATTGCGCCGTTATTAGTTTGGTTACGTCTCTGGTGCTATCAATATTTATTTGGCATTTGGATAATATTTAGTTAGAGTGTAAAAAGATTATTTTGAAATTGAAGTTGAAAAAGATTTATATGAAACTCTTTGGATATCGAAAATTAAATTTCTTAGTTTTATCTATATATTCGGATTTAAATATATAATAAGTCACCTTCTTGCTAGTTGGTGGTTTTCTTGTACTTAATCGTCCCTCCAAGCATTTACATTGTATATATTAGTTTGTTTGGATGGTTGTGATTTATCGTTTCGTAATATATGGTATAGTATTATTTTGTATAGTATTTTATTGTTTTGATGTATATAGTATTTGGATAAATTATATTATTTGTCGTCGTTTTATGATGTCATGTACTACCAATATGATGAATAAACTTGTATTATTATAAAGAAAAAATAAAGTACGAGGCAGAATTATTATATAAAAATATAATTATTGTCTAAAATATGAGATCCTTTTGTTTTAATTTCTTGATCCTGTAGAAATTTTTTAATTAAGCTGGGCCTTAATGCAAGTCGTATATCAGTTATCATCGACTAATTTCAATCTAACCCTTCCTCTCTGCATCAAATGACCACAATAAATCAACAGGAGAGGCAAACTACACGTAAAGAAAGAACCTTCAAAAACAATTAAACTACAGAATTTCTCACAGTTTTGTAGCGAAATGGCCAACACAAAAATCGTCGATACAAAACCAAAGCAATTGAACGTTCAGCTGACTTGAGACGTAGAGTTTTTGTTGTTTTGTTGATAGAAAATATTTTCCCAATACACTCTTAAGTCTGTCATTTGCTATAACTTTATACACTAGCATGTAATTTGAACCAATCCTCCAAATCTTTTTCTTTTCCCATTCATTTTGATTAATGGGAAAAATACAGCTAATATACGCACATTACTGGAAGTCGAACATCTCATTCTTGCAACATAAAACATAGTAACAATCATAAGCCTGGAAAAGATAAACCTTTCTCTACATGATTGCAGAATCTGTGCGGTGAACTCTGTTTATAAGTCAAAATTTCCTCTACAACCAGAAGGTGTACAACACGGAGCACGTATCATTGTGCCATCAGACTGAAGATAGATGCTCTCCCTACAACTAGCGGAACAACAACAAACAACAACAAACCCGTGGGGTCTGGGGAGGGAACTAGCGGAAAAGGAAGGGAAAAAACAGATCTAGTAGTAGTAGTAAATTTCATCTCACACAAACTCAAAACCACCTTCCTTTTGTTGCTGAGTGCACTTCATAAGATTCCAAACCCCAGTTATATACAATTAAGAAGTGCATTTGATACACGGTAGTGTTCAAAGAACAAGCCTGAAGGTGAGATTAATCCGTACTGAATCTGCTTTCACGCGCTTAGGCACTGAATGAAGCCAATCCCGCTGAGTATAGCCTCTCATTACCAGCAATGAACCATGTTTTAGGACAAATGAGTGTTGGTCTGGAGAGCGATTCTTCTTCGGTCGCTTTTTGGGCGGTTCACCGCTGGTTGTTTTACCTAGTGCAGCGGATAACAAACAGAAGAGGAAGTGATTAGCACGATTTCCACGGAATCAACATTGTCACTTACAGTATGTAAAGGAACAGAAGGTCTACCAGACTGAAGACTTGCACATCATTTGGGAAACAAAAGAACATTACAGAATCAATATTTACAGTTATCACATACCTCGAGGTGTTTTATCTGGTCTTTTCTTCAACAAGAATTCACGTTCACATCCAAAGGAAAGGGAAGCAATTTCTGGAGTTGGTCCATAAAGTTTCTCATCATCAGCATGCCAACCCACATAGTCATCGCCTCCCTTATACCTATTCAATAGTAAGCTGTTGAAACGACTTCCCGGAAGAGCTTTATGAACCTAAAAGTGCACCATCACAGCTGAAGGTATAAGGAAGAGAAATAGTTTGATCACCGGGAGCTATAACTTGAGAATTAAAGAAGAGCAAGCTTACAGCATCCAGTATGTCCTTAAGCGGAGGATATTCATCCCAAGAATATGCATGAGGCTGGTATCCACTATAAGCTAGTTGTGGTAGCCCTTCACTTGCAACATAACAACTGTCTCTAGGCTGAGGAAATATTATGAACATTGTCAATCTGTTTTTCCCCCAAAGGAACATGCGGTATCAAATCGATATAGCGTGTAACATTTAGCCTTTTTATCAACAAAGGGGAAAATCACAGGCTAAACGAGAGTAAAGCAACAACATTTTCAATTTGAAGTCAATCATGTGTCAGACAAACTAAGCTAAGAAATAAAACAATAAAACGGAGTAAAGCAACAACTTCATCACTTTAAACGGTCCACCATGAGCACAGATTAAGTAAGCTATTCACACACTAAGAAAGTAAAGCAACAACCTTTACAATTTGAGGAAGAGAATTGAAAGAGCACGAAAATGGTAAGAGTGAGCTTTGTATATGAGCCCTTTTGATTTATGATCATCGTTGTGAAACGGAAAATTAATTATATTGCATCTAAATTGGTTCTTATTATAATAGCATGCAGCATCCCTTGTCTTTTCGACTAGCTATGAGCTCAAGAATATTCAAAGAAATCATTTTCAACACGCTGCCAAAAAATTGTAAGCTTTTGGGGTTCTATGATTCACCTCAGAATAGTACTACAATTATTTTTAACAGTGACATTGAAAGTTCTTCATTTAATCAAGTTGTTATATTAATGTTTGGTTTCGATCTTAGAACCAAAGTTTCAAGGTAACTCATTTTTGGATTAAACTTATGAAAAGAAAATGCTATTGATTGTCAAATTATCTTGCAAACTCGCATTGGAGGTGACATGGAAGCAAGATTAAGAAGAGAAAAGTAACTAAATCACGAAATTGAATTCAGAATGAAACTAAAAATTACCAAAAAGACTTCAGTTTGAATATCTTGATGGCCAATTTTCTTTTCCGGTTAAGCTATATGCTATTGAAACTTACTGACCCGACTAATTCAGATTTCCCCCAAATAGATGTCTTTTCACAAGCTGAGCAAGACGAACAAAACTATGTAAAACGTGACATTTGAACACTATCTTTGTCAATGGGCTTTCTCATATCTCAAAAACAAGTCAGCGCAGTAAGTGATTCAGTAAACGAGAATAAAAAGAGCATCCAGCTTTAGCATTCAAACTCTAAGATTGAAAATTACATGCACAAATCAAATTGCCTAAGATTCACCCATTGTTTTAAAGGACGAAAGCAGAGGCCTTTAAAGTTCAGAAGGATAACGAAACGAGCGAAATTGACTTAAGAAAAGATCCTAATTTCTCCTCTTAAAATATTGGACTAATCATCCGGAAATATAAAAAGAGTAAATGCTGGAGCTTAAAATTGAAGGAGAAAAAGGCAGAAGAAAAAACCTGGACACAAGATCGACCGAAGACGCGAATAGTGGGACGGTTCCACGGTATATTTTTGTTTAAATATTCTAAATAATTCCACGACTGGTCGTATGCTAAAAACCTAGGCATGTATATTACTTGGCTTCCGTTACCTAATTCTACAACAACTTTCTTTGTTTTTGAATCTCTTGTCGCCGCCGCCACTGCTTCATTCTCTTCCAACTCATTCTCAGATTCACGATGGAGACGACAATCGTCGGTCTCGGCCTTCAAGTTCAGTTTCGTTACCGTTGCCATCGGCGGAGAAAGAGAGCGAAAAGGAAATTGGAATGATTTTGGGGCATAGTGGAAGATGGCGGCAAATTCGACCCGGACTCGGTCCAATCAGTGGAGTTCTTTACATTCCTATACCACATAGGAAACCTTTTTACCTTACATGTTTAAAGTTTGAGTAAATTACACTTAGTATACCAAATTACCAATCTTATACCATACTTAATTAAGGGTCTAATTAATAGGCTATTTTTACTCCTTAATTAAAGGTATCCATATCTAATTAATGTGCAGTTTTTACTCCTTAACTAAAGATATCCATATATCTCACGTTTCTCTCTCCTAACCTCTCACCCCCACCCACGTTTTTACCCATACCCCACATTCTTTTTACCATTTTTCCCTCTTCTGTAACCAACAAAATTCCACCAAAATGACCCCAAATAAGTTAACATTCCACCCCAAATTCTCTGGAAACTTTCCGTCAATCTCTCCCTTCTTTGAATCGTTTCTTCCTATCATTTTTTTTTTCCTATCTTATTCTCTTATTATAATTCTTCTCCTCCGCCAATATTTTTTTTTAACATAAATTGTAGTTTAATTATAGTATAAATATAGTAATTTTATAGATACTCTTAAAAACAATACAGCTTTATACAATACTTAAACTGATTTGTAGTTTTTTTGTAGTTTTTTTGAAGAAATTTTGTAGATGAAGAGAAAGTTTTGTAGTCAAGATTTTTGTTTCAACATAGATTGTAGTTTAAATGTAGTAACTTTGTAGATACCCTTAAAAACAGTACAACTTTATACAATACTAAAACTGATTTGTAGTTTTATTGTAGAAATTTGTTAGATGAGACCCATTTTTTATAATCAGATTCCCATTCAATTGTAGCATGATTGGGATTTTGCATTCTCATCTACCACAATGGCATTAACTTCAAAATCTCTAAATCCGCCATAATTATCCCAAATCCCATTAAAATTGTAGCATGATTGCGATTTGGACATGATTTCTTGTTATTGTTGATGTTTTTTTGGATTTCTGTATTGAGAGAAGAAAAGATGAAGAACATATACATATGAGCGACAATTTGAGAGAAGAAACGACGAAAAACAGATTTTATCAACTTTGAGTTGTTGAAACTCGAAAATTTGAATTCTACAATTTAAATTCAGTTCGTCCAATCTGTTCGTAGTTGAATCTGTTCGTAATTTTTGTAACTGTTCGTTCTTTTTTTTTTCTCGAGAATTTGAATTGTAGTTCTGGAGAAAAATACGCAGATGAGAAATCTCCTTTCCCTTTTAAAAATTGAATTTAATGTAGAATCAATTAATACCAAGATTCTCTCCTTAATTTTAGCACGTTTTTTAGGGAATATTCTGCCCTTTTAATACCTAATAGACGAATGGTATAAAATTTGTAGGTAAAACGTGGACTGGGCGGGTAATTTACATACTATGCACATTTTTGGTAATAAAGTTTCATATATGGTATAGATAGAAAAAAATCCCTTTGTTTAATTTTGGTCTTTTGGGAATCATACATAAATGTCCCAAATAAATTCCAACTTACCAACCTCAAGCCATTAATCATAGACTTACCAAAACTAGTCAAACACATAAATGAAAACCCAAATAAATAAGGTTATTTCTCTCCAAGAATCACACGTAAAGATCTCATTCCATATTTTTAAGCGTGATCAGCAACATTAGATGCAAGACGGAAAGAAAATTTTATGGATGGGGTAGCAAACAAAGCGATGATATATAAAAAATACATATACATAATTCTAAAAATCTAAGCAAAAAAGGATCTTTTACAATAGGTATGGTTAAAATTCATTGAAAACATATAATGAGTCGATATACAAATTTTGAGGAAGATTGGAGGTGATTTGGTATCAAAATTCGTAGTTAAAATCGAGTTCAAAAAAATTTTCTATGACACATGTATCACGCATATATCACACACACAGGTATTCATGGATATACATGTGATACACATTTGATACATAAGTGATACACAAATGACACAGTGTGATTCACATATCATTTTTTTCATGTTCATCTTCTACTACGAATATTCAATTCAAACCGCCTCAAAACTCAGCCAAATCATCCCAAAACTGAGATTCGGACTCCTTAAGATGTACTCAATTTATTCTAATAATACATACTCAAAAGAAAGCAAAGTTTTGACCTTTTGGCTACAAATGGCTAATTGGCTAATATTGGTAATATTTGGCTAATATTAGTAATACTTAATGAATTGGCAATTTTTTTTTTAATCAATCCACTAGGCATTGGCTAGGGCTAGTTTTTATATATATAAAAATAAAAAAACAAATAAAGTGTCATGATGAAAGTAATAAACTATGACGATTACATACCACCTATTATCAATATTAAGCAATAAGCTCAATAGTGATATCACATTTGATCTAATATAATTATTGAAACTAAAAACTAGCCCTACAAAATGAAAATCCAAAGTTACATTTGGTATCATCATTCTCTTATATTTCATAGCCGTTGCCCAGTACTTGCATTTTAAGCCATTTTTCCTTTGTTCCTTGTTCATCACTGTCCCATGATCATGTACCTGTACCATTGTGCTCCTTGTGATATCCTGCATGTGTCCTACTGCATCAATCCTCTTAGTTATATATAAGAGTGATTCCATTATTGCTGAATCACATTGCACTGTCCAGTTGATTGCAATTCTTTTGCCATAATTTCTGCGCGACCTTCCTTGCTTATCTCTTGAGTCCTTCATTTGTCCTTCCTTCTGATGAGATCCCCTGCATTGCCAGTTAAATATCAGAGGCTGTGTGAAAGCCAATTTCTCCGCTGAATAGTGCCCAGTGAACCATGCTAAATAATGATTCCTTCCCGTTATGTAGTTGTTGCCTGCAATTGCATGTATTTTTTCCTTTATCCTTGTTGAAACCTCTTCTTGATTTGAGTGTTTCTGGGTTGTATTATTATGCTGCATCGAGATTTCACACCATAAATCTTCAGTGTTGTCCACACAGTTATGAATCTGTGGACTTGGCCTCGTGCCTTTCCAAAGAATCCTTCTCATGCTTGTGCATGCCTCCTTTCCTCCTCCAAGGGAATGAGCACAAAATGCTAATACCACCCATTGAAGTTGTAATGAGTGACAAGGCATGAGTACATTAGAGTTCCCTGCAAAAAAGAAAACATAGTTAGTGAAAAATACATTCCCATGTTCTCTTCCATATGGATTTGAACGTGAGGAATGACTGATCTTTGATCTTCACTCCAGCTGCTTCTCTTCATCGTTCAGAACCATACTATTGTTAAAATTGGTTGCCCCTTTTGGTCTGCAACACCATGTGTCTGACTTCCTGTATCCCTCCAATCATATTGCCCACTTCTATCTAAATTTCTGGGCAAATTTCCTATAGAATACTGCCATCTACAATCTGTTCCCCTATTTATTGCCTCCACGCTTCTCCTCCTCCTTATTTCTGATTTTCTTGCCTTATAGTTTCCAATGAACTTCCATTCTGCCCCCTTCCTTCTTGTTTTCACCATGCTCCAATATATCAAACAAATATCCCTACCAGATTGACCAATTTGCTGCACCCCTCTCTTGCATTTTTCTTCCTTTTCCTCCTTTTCCTTGTATTTTCTTATTGCTGACACTTGTATGCTCCTTTCTTTTTGCTCTAAACCAAATGCCTGGTTCCCTGTATCCTTATCTAATCCCCTCCATATTCCTACTCTATCTAGAACCCCCCAGTAGCATACGACCAGCCTCAACAGATGCCCAATTCTCTTAAGCTTTCTGGGCATCATTGCTTCCTCTTTCCTCCTTTGCTTAGTCTGATTGTTTAGCGTTGATGTTCTGCTGCTATACCTATTCCTATTTCCTAACATATGTGCCACAATGTTATTTAAGCATGTGATCTTCTATGATGCCTTCCTTGTTCTTGTGATATGTCCTACCTTTACTTTTCTCCCAATGGGCTGAGTACTAGGTACTAATACCACCATTTGGAAGTATTTTAAAGAGTAAGTCATAGATAAGATGACAGTTCCTGCAAAAAAGAAAACAAAGTTAATGATCAAGATCATCATGCTCTCCTTCCCAAGAATTTGAGCATGGTGACTGAATAATCCTGCTCCTGTTCTCCTATCTGCCCTTCTCCCTTTTTCAGCTTCTAATTCTTTGCTACTTTTGCTCTTAAGTAGGGACATTGCATTTTATCTTCATTCACTATCCTTCTCCCTTGCAAGTCTAGCTGCCAGATATCGAAGCATTCTATGTTTCCAACATCCAAAGCATAGTTTGCCAAATGATCAGCCAGCTTATTTCCTTCTCTGAATATGTGTGACACTTTGAAATTCAACCCTTCTTTCAGCCTCATGATCTCCTCCACATGGTCCACAATACACCAAGGTGTACTTTATATTCCTTCCACAATGTTCTTCATTAACATAGAGTCAGTTTGAAGCCAAATATGTGTATAATTCAGGACTCGACTCATTCTCAATGCCTCCAATATTGCTATTGCCTCTGCCTCATTATTTGAACCTTCACTGATTTCCCTTCCTATTGCATATTTCACATCACCAAATTCATCTCTCAGACAACAACCAATCGCACTTCTCCCAGGATTCCCTCTTGATGCACCATCTGTGTTGACTTTAATCCAGCCATGCATTGGAAATTCCCAGATAATTTTTTCAAACTTCAGCCTTGGAGTGTACTTTTCCAGCATATCCAAGAGGTCCAGCCATCTATGAGGCACCTATAGACTTGGTTTTTTCACTTTGACTAGAGATTGCAGTGTTGTTGAGACTTGGTAGATTACTCTGCTGATGGACACATTCTCCCCATATTTCATGTTGTTCCTCCTCTTCCACAGCTCCCATACTATACATGAGGGCAAAGCTTGCATGATTGGCTTGATCCTAGGCAGCACTTTTGCAGTCCAACAACTGGTAATGGCTTGGTGCATTGATAGCCTTTCTAATGTTATTCCTGCCCTCGACAAGAAATACTTCCATACAGTAGTAGCTGCAGTTGATGTGTAAAACAAATGCACCAGAGTTTCTTCCTTAGG